GCCGCCGGCGCCTCACGACTGAATGAAGAAGGTAGTGTTGCGTTGGCACCTTAAACCATCAGGGCGAGAAACCGAACAAGGCTCCTCCGGCCGGGCCTGGGCCCCTGCGTCTACATTTTCACTAACCACCATGCTTCAAGGATCAGGGAGAATCAAAACGTTTTCTTTTACACTTTTCTTAACTTAAAAAGGGGAAACTGAGGGTCGGATCACTGCGTCTACGCCCTGGCCTCCACGCCCCTCACACACCAGAGCTGAAGGGCCTGAGGAACAAGCCACTGAAATCTCTTTCCCGCCGCGTCTTCGGGGCCCAGAGCTGCACCCAGAGCCCCAGGGCCTCGCTGAAAAGTCCCAGAGGATATCCCTCCCGATGAACAGCCACCAGCACCCTGGGCGGCTCCCACCTCCCAGCCGGTGCCCAGACCCCAGCTCACCGGCTTCCACAACTCGGGGCCCAGCACACGCAGCCACTTGCTGAGCCAGCCGCGTAGGCGGTGCCGAGGAAGGGCCCGGCTGCGTGTTCTCGGCCCAGCTTTGCTGCTGGCCGGTGATGTGACCTCAAGCAAGTCATGCCCCCGTCTCGGGGACTGAGGCTTCTCCCCTGGACGGTGGCCTGGCTGCATTCGATGCTCAAAGAAGCCCGGGAGGCATGGACAGCAAGATGCTCCTGACAAGGCTGAACCACAGAATCGTTTTCCAGAAACACCGCGTTCCATTCGTGTCAGAAACTCCAGCGGAAACCTCTCAGAAGCTCCTCCTGCCTCCGTTTTCAAGCATCATCTGAGCAGAGGCACCTGGGTGCCTACAGAGCCGATAGGCAGTTCTTCCGTGAGTCAGGCAGTTCCCGCAGCCAGAGGCGCGAGCGAGCGGGAAACACTTCTCCTGTGTCCGGGGGGCCACACACAGGGCCCCTCGGGTACCAGCGTGAGCACCATCGGGACGAGTCTAGTCGCAAGGACCCAGGAGGCTTCAGCACATCTATGAGCCCCAAGACTGGGTGCAGCAATAAAAGGAAAGACATCTGAGGCCAGAGCAGATGCAAGGAGACTGTCCAGGCACACGAGCTGCCTGCCCCGTGGCCCCGAGGGCGGGGGGGGGGGGGGCGCGGTGCCGCGGGTCCTGCTTCTCCTCTCCTCTCCCCCTCGGCCCTGGCCATGTACATTCTGGAAGCTACAGGATAGTCTTGCTAAAGATGGTGATGCAGACACAGAGGGAGGGGCCTTTCAGATCCTTCCCAGGCATCCCCCGGGGTCCACGTGAGTGGGGGACGAGGGCCCGAGGTTTGGCTCTCGTTGCTAAAGCAATGGGGAAACGTCACAACAGCAGGGGTAACGTTTCTATGCCTCGACTCGGGAATCAGCCCAGACCCGCTGCAAATAGAGCGTCGGGTTGGAAACCTTGTCATCCGCCCGTGAGAGCCTGGCAGCCCGTGTCACAGAGGGCCCAGGGGCACCTGAAACCGCAGCACCTCCAGGGTCTGCTCTTCAGACTCCGGTTTACCTGGAGGACACCCAGAAACCACCCGAAGACTTGGGGGTGGTGAGCAGCCAGGAGGGGGCTGCCCACAGAGAGCCTCGAGGAAGAGTGTGGCGCTGGCTCTTCCCCGGGGGAGGTGGCTCTGGCTGAGGGGCCCTGGCAGAAGGTGTCTCAACTGCACCAGCTGGGGCCCAGGCTGCAGGAATCCCACCGATGTGACAGCTGCCTGTAGCCCCACAGTAGGGAAGGGGAAGAGGAGATTGGGGGGGGGGGCGCAAAAGCGGGGATCGAGCCCGACAGAGCCAAAGGGCACAGCCCCCGGGCAGCACTGGGCCTCCCACAGATGCCAGAACATCAACGCACAAGGAAGCCGCCCCTTCCCCTCACCTGAGTTCTCCACCCACACCAAGGCCTGACCGCACCTGAGTCCTCCCACCTCACCTCCCCGCTCTCACCAAGAGGGGTTGCAGTGACTCCCCACAAACCTACGAGCCTCCGCCACCAGCGGGACAGGGATCCTGGCCTGGGTCTCAGGGTCTCCAGCCAAGGCCCAGGCGTTCACTGCCTCGCTCCCTCCCAGCTCCTCCTCTCCTGGCGCCCACCCCTTCGTGGGAAAAGCATCTGCTCAAAGGGAGAGACTGGCTCCGGCCTCGCCCACAGCAACCACACAGGAGCCTGTGTGAATGAGGCTGCGAGGAAGCGTGTGGCGCCCACTCCCACATGCCCAGCCCTGTGGCAGCTTCACCCGGCCATGCCCGGGCAGTAGGGACAGAGGCCCTGGCAGCCGTCAGCAGATGGGGAAGAAGCTCCTAGCACAGAAGCAAACAGATGTTGGGAGCGACAGAGCCGACTTCTACCAGGACATCTTCCAGGAGCTACAGACTCGGCTCCTGGAAAAGTGCTCCCTCCAGCAGCACAAAATGCCCGCCTGCCAGGACCTGGCGCTGCCCCTCCCCAGGCGCAGTCCCCTCTGGGCCTCTGCTACCCCCCCCCCCCAACCCCACACCAGGCTCTGCCTCTCGGCTCTCTGAGTCCCCAGTACCCAGATCCCTGCTCACCCAACACTGGCTGCTGCAGACAAAAACAAGGTAACAAATGACCCAGACACATTGCACATGGGGGGGTCAGGAGCAGGGGAGCCTGGAGGAATGACGCCTTGTCCAGAGATGGGGAGGGGCT